GAGAGAGAGGTTTGCCCTGACGATAAAAGGAAATCTAGTGTGGTAATGAGAAAGAAAATTTAATCTGAGAAATAAAATTTAGATTAAACGGGCGAGAATGAGATTAGGTGGTGGGCGGCGATGGCGCCCACGGTTGAAGATGCCCAGTCTTAGTGATGTGTGCTGGTGGTGGGGCTGCTTAGTTGCTGCCGCCGCGCAGACGAAGGACCAGGTGGAGGGTGGACTCCTTTTGGATGTTGTAGTCCGAGAGGGTGCGCCCGTCCTCGAGCTGCTTGCCCGCGAAGATCAGACGCTGCTGGTCCGGGGGAATGCCCTCCTTGTCTTGGATCTTCGCCTTCACATTCTCAATGGTGTCGCTGGGCTCCACCTCGAGAGTGATCGTCTTGCCGGTGAGGGTCTTAACGAAGATCTGCATNTCCACCTCGAGGGTGATGGTCTTGCCCGTGAGGGTCTTCACAAAGATCTGCATGCCACCACGCAGACGGAGCACCAGGTGAAGGGTGGACTCTGTTGATGGGAATAATCAAGAGTTAGTAAAGAGTAAACATTGATGAGATGTAAAGAGCTTACCCTTTTGGATGTTGTAGTCGCTGAGGGTGCGACCGTCCTCGAGTTGCTTGCCAGCGAAGATGAGACGCTGCTGGTCCGGGGGAATGCCCTCCTTGTCTTGGATCTTCGCCTTCACATTCTCAATGGTGTCGCTGGGCTCCACCTCGAGAGTGATCGTCTTGCCGGTGAGGGTCTTAACGAAGATCTGCATACCACCGCGCAGACGGAGCACCAGGTGAAGGGTGGACTCCTTCTGGATGTTGTAATCCGAGAGGGTGCGACCGTCCTCGAGCTGCTTTCCAGCGAAGATGAGACGCTGCTGGTCCGGGGGGATGCCCTCCTTGTCCTGGATCTTCGCCTTCACATTCTCGATGGTATCGCTGGGCTCCACCTCGAGGGTGATGGTCTTGCCGGTGAGGGTCTTCACAAAGATCTGCATGCCTCCGCGCAGACGGAGCACCAGGTGAAGGGTGGACTCTGTTGATGGGAATAAGCAAAAGTTAGCAATCAGTAAACAAAGATGAACAGCAAAAAGAGCTTACCCTTTTGGATGTTGTAGTCGCTCAGAGTGCGACCGTCCTCGAGCTGCTTGCCAGCGAAGATGAGTCGCTGCTGGTCCGGAGGGATGCCCTCCTT